GTCCATGCACAGGTAAAGCCGCTGCGTCCTAGAAGATCCAGGCGGTGGGATGAGGCCCACTGCAGCAGCAGCAGCCAAACCTTCCTTCTTCCTCGCCAGACACCAACCATTCCCGACATCATCAAGGGCAGCAGCAGCAGCAGCCGATCCATGCAAGTCGCCCAACAAGTTGAGGCGCATTGGCCGGTCATGGCGAGCCGCGTCGGCGGGCAGCAACCGCGGCGACGAGCGCGGCCAGTCCGTATCGACGGTGGCGACGACGCCGTCAGGGAGGCGGGCCCGGCTGTCGGCGAGGCGACGGGAGAGCATCAGGCTCCTGGACGTGCTGCCGGGCCAGGGCGGCATCGGCGAGTTCCTGCGGCACCCCGCCGGCGTGGAGTCCCTGCTCAACACCCGGGCGCTGCAGAGCTTCGCGCCGGTGGAGTCGGAGTCGGAGTCGGGCCCGGCCGGCGCCTTCAGGTGCACGCTGCACCCCATGGGCTTCCTCGGCTTCCAGGTCGCCCCGGTCCTGGACCTCCGCGTCACCCCGACCCGCGACGACTGCACCGTCGAGATGCTCTCCTGCAGGGTATACCTACCAACATACACACGCTTAATTCCACGGACCTATTCTCCCTGTGATTTATACAGATGAAATGATCTTTTCAATTTGCCTTTGGTGACAGTTTGAGGGTTCGGACTCGATCGAGCAGCAGAATGAGCTCTTTTCAGGTCATCAATCCATGCTTAGCTAACATTCTTCACACGCATTTTTTTATCTAATGGTGGAATAGTTGCATCAGTTATTCAGTTACTTTATGTTCTACTCATAATTTCACCCTCTCATAAGGCTCTTTTCTTCTAAACGATTTCCAAACATTTGATATCTCTGCCCAATATATAGTGTCATCACCATAATCAGTTAGTTTTAAATATATTCTTTTGGAGATGCAATGTGCCTGAGCTGGAGTGTTGGATGTTGGCAGCGGTTATGACCAACCGAATAACATGGGGAGACAATGGTGATCAGGAGCCATGCTTGGACATCGATGTCTATTTGGAGGTCACCCTGGAGGTAATATGGCATTCAGTTTAGTGATGTACTCCCTCCGTCCCGTAATATAAGAGCATTGACGCCGTCAACAACCTCTTATATTATGGGACGGATGGAATAGTATAACACGTAGATGAGGACGGGATCGCAATCTCACTAGCTTGCATCACAAAATTCACACTGATGCATGACACTAAGATGATATGTTTAGTTGAATATTACCATCACCCCAGCTCCTAGGGATGAGCAGATGACAAGGGTTTCCTACAAGACGAGCCCTCAAGTTTCTCTTATGTTTCAGGTGTACACGAAGCCGTTCAGCTTGCTCCCGCTATCGGCAGTGGAGAAACCAGGCAACCTGTAAGGCACTGCATTCTTTAGAAGTTCCTGCAATTTAGAATCAAGTGCTTTCCTGATGCTTTCGAAAGGATCGGTGCCCCCATGGAGATGCTTAGGCGCCTATTGAACGCCTCAATTTACGCCCTTTTTACCTGTTTCAAAGAAGAAGAAAACTGAATTTGATGGGTGTCACCTTTTTGAGTTAAGTAACATAGGCATTCACTGTATGTGTTGTTTGGCAGGCTGATGCAAGGTCTGCTTGACAGGCTTGTCCCGATGCTGGGTGAGCAGCTGCTGAGGGACTACCATTCCTGGGTTCAGCAGCAGACCCAGTCTTCATCCTCATGAGCAAGTGACTGCCCAAAGTCTGAAACTAACACTACCTACCTAGCAGATTCCTGGGATTCATGGCCGGGTCGGCATTCATCAAATCCAGCTGCCAGCAGCACCAAGAAAGAATCACGAGGACGCGGCATGGGTTAATTTGTAGTAGATGCTTGCATGATATAAGAAAGAATAATTTACTGTACATCCCCTCCTAATCTTTGAGAGAAATCATACGAATTTCGAAAAGGTTGTGCCTAGCTAACTTTTGACCCATGTACATATCTCTCAAGTCTCTTTCGAGATTCCACTACAGACTACATACGGAGCAAAATGAATGAATCTACCCTCTACAATATGTCTGTGTACATCCTCATGTAGTTTGTAGTGGAATCTCTAAAAAGACTTATATTTAGGAATGGAGGGAGAAAACTCATGCTGCACATTAGCATGATGAAGGTTCTGGTTGTTATTATTGCATCAGTCTCATTGTAATACTATTACATTACACATGTTCAAACAGCATGAGGTTTCCCTCAAGAAATTGCAGTAGTTGAAACTTCTCTAGTCCAGTGACAACTTTAACAGTTCCTGACATATTTTCTGGGACAGTTTTCAAACATGTTCCGGGATATCTTCTGTATTATTCTGAATCACAATACACTCGAAGCAATACAAAGATTTCGATCTATCGACAGGCAAACCATACACAACAACAAATCAAGCCCTTTTCAGATGACATGTACAACCATAATAATAAAAAATCTGTGGTAAAGATCATCATCATCGTTTGTCCTGTACATTCCTTCACAAAAACTATCTCCATCAGGGCTTCAAGGTATAAGAGCTTGCCTGTACAGCTCATCCTTGCCATCGGTAGGCGAGTTCCCAACGGGCATCGCTCTGTTAGGCAGCACCGTCTCTGCAGAGATCAAAACACGTGCCGCATTCCGGTACCACGGCTGCAAATGAGGGTCAAGGGAAGGTGAGTCCGGCAGCATCACGGAACCCCAGTCTCTCTGCCCTACTTGCGGCTCGCGTATTCTTCGTCGCACCAAAAGCCCGGCCACATCTTCCCTTCTGATCTCCGTCATTGTCCGTGCGATTGCCATGCATAAGAGGAGCACAAAAACTGCATCCTCTTTGGGTAAGAACTCCATTGCGAGTAATTTCCAGTTTAGGAGCACGGTTGCCCTACCATCAGGATAATCTGGTGATGTTCGGACTAGGGTGAGGTACTGCTCTTCCTCGTGGTTATTTGATGTGCTGTCCTTCTTTACGCTGTAACTCAATCTCCTCCCTACAAGCAGCCTTGCCTGCTAATATGGTTTATCGCGGTGTGGTTAGAAGGTATTACAAAATGGCACTGGAAAGTCCATCAAGTACTATATCAGTAGCGAACTGAACTTCCACTTCATGTGTGGTGCAAGTCATATGCCATCTGTCACAGTTGAATCTAGCTAGTCTAAGATGAAAAATATATATTTTACGGACAAAAATAGCTACACTTCTGCATTAAATAGAAAACATGACCAAATATGGTTGATCAGTCAAATGACATGTATTTACTCAAAAAGAAAAGTTAGATGGATCTGTTGTACATACAGACAACTCACATATGTTGCATTTCTGAAAGCAATAATAAAGATGGAGTGCCGTAATCCTTTTTGCCTGGTAACTGATTTACTAATAAATCAACTAATATAGAATGTTCATACCACCAGAGCTTTCAGCAATGAACACCAAATGCAGGACAGTTATGTGATTATGTCACCTCAAGATTATCTATACTAACTCCAATACCAGACAAAAATATGCATCAAGAAATCGAGCGAAAGAAACTTATGGGACCATACCTCTCCTTCTGAAGTCTCATTTTGTAGCTGAAAGTTGAGGTCATCTCCCAACCACACTGTCAGTACATCTCCAGTTGAAAAACGCCAAACCACCTTATTCTCCTGTTGATATTTCGTTGGCGTTGCTGTACCAACCACCTTTTCTGTATCACAAAGGGAAACAACTAGGCTCCTCTCAAGACAAGGTATAATACTGACATCAAGCAACTATTCAGAGTAATGAAGTTACCCGGAGCATAACCAACGGATGTTGCACTTGCAATGTAGGACCATGAGCCTTCTCGGACCTCAATGATCCTATCTTCCCATTTCACTGCCATGGGAGTTTCAGGTCCTCTCCGCCAAATCCCTCTGCCTATTCTACACGTGTTGGAATTGAATTCAGCACAACTGAATTGAGATATAACAGTAAATATCATTCCCCCGCAGCATAAGCTTAGTAACATAACCACTCAACAGCTGATTGTAACTTCATATAAAAGCAAAAGGGTTATCTTTGGACTGCATGCCCTATTTTGTTAGAAAATTGACCAAAAACTTGTCAAGGGGTGTGGTATTTGCCACATAATGTTAAGCTATAGATTCCGAAACGCAAATACATATAGATTCTGAACAATACCTCATCCTAACAACGAAACATTCTTTCCCACCGTAATCAAGCACTGTACGGGTCAGCCACCGTCCTTCCTGCGGACGGTAACTTCTCATGCGCAATATGACATCAGAAACCATTGCTCCACCATCATCAGTGACTCTGTCAGGTACGCACTTCAATAAGTAAGGTGCCTGAATTGGAGGGGTAATCGATGCCATCACCCTAATCCTGGCATCGAGCTCCTCTGAAAGCATAAGTGATTTCTCATGCAGCATATCGTTCCATGAGAATGATATATTCTTGAGGATCTTGCTGTTCCTGAAGCATCCACCCATGCTGCGCCTTACCTCAATGGTGAGACCTCGGGTTGCAAATTCACAATACATATGCCACATTTTCTGCCAGTTTTTGCAGGATAAATTGGACACTGACTTGTCGAGCTTTAATGATCTGTAACACCTCTGTGCCCGGAAACGCAGAAATTCCTTGCTAATGTGCTCACTGTCAAATTCTCCTTTCAGGAACACACATACCTGTTATCAAGAATCAATGATATGATTGTCAACATACAAATAGGTACATACTTCACATCTCTACTATCTAAAAAAGACTTAAGGTTCCCTATTTCACCCACGTGTTTCGCTCCCCACCTTTGTCCAACAGCC